GGGGGTGGTGGCAGGAGCGGGGGTGCCGGGGGGAGCGGCGGCGGGAGCGGAGCGGGAGGGATGCTGGTCCCGCAGGGAAGGAAGGAGGGAGCGCCGTCCCCTGCCCATGTGCTCAGCGGGGTAGGGGCCCCAGCGAGGACCCCCCCACCCTCCCCCGGGCTTGTGTGGAGCAGCTGGAGGGTCCCCATAGGGCGTGAAACGGGATAAATAAGCAGGTCTCTCCCCCCGCCCCAGGGCTGCTGGTGTGTGGCACAGGGTCAGGAGCCCTCAGTGGGATGCTCTTGAGAGGTGATGCAGAGTGGGGATTTGGACAGATTTCCCCCCCACACTTCGGTGTGATGGGTATTTGGGTGGGGGAGGAGGTTCCTGTCCCCGCAGTGTCCCACCTATCTCACCCTCTGTGCCTCCAGGGCAAGGTCACTGCCCACAGCCTGTGGTGGGGAGCGTGGTAGCTCCACGCCATCCTTGTCGGGGAGGGGAAGGGCACACCAGCCTGCTGTGACCCCACTGCTCCCCCCCCAACCATCTCTGGGACATCACAGACAAGCACCGGGGCAGCACAGGGGCCTGTTAGCTGTAAGCAGCTCAGTGTTTGCCAGTCCAACCTCCATGTTCCTGGTTGCTGGTACAGGACATCCCACCCCCAACACAACCCTTGTCCCCATAGTCTTGCTTACACACACACCTCCCTCACTTGCATTTCCCTGCTAACCTCCCTGCAACACCCTTGAGGGACACAAGACTCCCTCTGGGACCTGCTGTGGCCAAGGGTCAGGGATTTCCTCCTCTGCACGGGGGAGAGGAGCACAGAAAAGGAGTGGCAGGACAGCTTGGCATCCTTGGGCAGCTTTTTGCAGCTGGTTCTGAAGGTAGGTGCCCTTGCACAGTGCGTATCGGCTCATTTAAAATACACACATTTAAAGGGTGCAAATTTACATGCGTGTGCATCTGTGCGTGCAAACGGCTCCTTCCTGCAGCCAGCAAGCCCTCCCCTGACCCCCTGTGTCCTCCCTGCAGCCCGCCCAGCCATGGCAGCCTCGCTGAGCCGCCCCTGCTTCATCTCCCTCCACGTGCCCTACAGGCAGGGCTGGGTCCAGGACCTGGCCAACACCTTTCGCTTCCAGCCGGTGGCCGTGCGGGAGACGCCGCGTGTCCGGCAGCTGGCCCTGCGTCGGGGATCCGCCGTCTTCCTCGTCAACGAGCGCCTGTCGCCAGGACCCACTGGTGCCTCCTCCCACGATTTCCTCTATGATGTGGACCCCCGGCCCGCCTTGGGCACAGCCTCCAACGTCTGCTTTGAGGTGGACGATGTGCCAGGGCTCTGCAAGCAGCTGCAGAGCTGGGGATGCTCCCTGCCGGTGCCCCCCACTGAGGTGAGGGATGAGGGTGGCTCTGTCACCTACGGGGTGGCAAGCTCCGTTGTGGGCAACATCAGCCATACCCTTCTGGACCGATCCCGCTACCGAGGACCCTTCCTGCCCGGCTTCCAGCCCATCCAAGGAGCCCCCTCAGCCATGAGGGACGGGATTGAAATTACCCACTTTGACCACATCACGTATGTCTGCCCGCGGGGGGGTGCCCGGGCAGCTCTGGACTGGTACCAGCGCTGCTTCGGCTTCCACCGCTTCCTGCTGAACCCTCGGGAGAGGCCGGGTGAGGGATACGTGCTGGGGGAACAGGGGGTGGGCATGCTGCTCCTGGCACTGCAGAGCGCCCAGGGCAGCCCAGCACACAGCTGCAAGCTTGTCCTCGCCGAGTCCCTCTCGGAGGATGGTGCCAACCAAGTTGACACCTTCCTAGAGCAGCACGGTGGAGCTGGGATCCAGCACGTCGGCCTCCACACCACCGATATCGTTGCCACGACCAGGGCTTTGCAGCAGCAGGGTGCACGGTTCTTCACACCCCCCACCACCTATTACAGCCAGGAAGGCAAAGCGGAGGAGATCCAGGGGGTTGGGCAGGACCCCCGCATGCTGGCAGAGCTGGGCATCCTGCTGGACACCACGGTGCCTGGGGACAAGGGCCGGCCAGGCGCTGATGCCACAGAGAGCCCTTCCCAGGAGTATTTGATGCAGATCTTCACCCATCCCATCTTCTCTGAGGAGACATTCTTCCTGGAGCTCATTGACCGGCGGGGAGCACCAGGCTTTGGGGAAGGCAATATACGGGCACTGTGGAAAGCTGTGCAGGTCTATATGGACCGGCAGCAGTAGTGACAACACTGCAGTCCTCCTCCCTCAGCTCCTCGTCTCTCTGGTCCAACCCTGGGGTAACACACTGCTGTGGAGATGCCTGCAGCACGGCTCAGGTGGGCAGGGACCAGAAAAGGGCTCCAGGTCAATCCAGAGCCCACTCAGCGTGACAGCAGGTTGACTGGAGCCGGGTCCAGTAGGGCTCCAAGCATCCCTCAGGATGGAGGGTGGTTTCTCTCTCTCCCTGGGTTCCCAGTGATTTATTGACCTCACACAAAGAACTTTCTGCCTTAATTTAATCTTAATATAATGAGATTTTTACCTGCAGCATGGCCAATGACACTGCTGGCACAACACCAGCCCCAGAAGTAGGGGGATGAGGGGCTACCAGAGGGGAGTGGACAAGCCAGGGGGCATAGACATGGCAGCTCATCAACGGTTACCACTCAGAGCATGGCCAGCCCCTGTGCAGGGCAAGTGATGGCCTCTTGCTCCTTTTAATTAAAGAATTAACCTGCAAGCATTGCTTTGGGGTTTTCTTCTCCCATTTAAGATCTGCTGAGTGCCAGGTGAGGGTGAAAGTGCCCTCTCCGCCCCTGGAGGCAGACCATCCCGTCCTGCAGGCCCTAAACTGAGGCCACTTGGCTCCCATCCTTGAAAGCCCCAGGCAGGGATGCAAGCTTAAGGAGGAAAACTCTTGGTAGCCCACCCTTGGGAAGAGCCTTCCGGACTTGGTGCCTTTGCCAGGGTGCTACAGTCAGGGAAAGCCACAGCACAAACACAGCGGAGAACAGCCTGACAGAAAAGGTAAAAAACAGGGCTAAAACCCTACAAAAGTCCCACAGGATGATTACTTCACACCACAGAGGGGCAGCCCATGGGCAGGAGCTGTGCAGCCCCTGGGGCTGATGCCTGAGCTCCTAGGAAAGGTGCTCTGGGTGTGTTATTTGGGGTTAATGCTCAGCTGAGGGGCTCACAGGTGCCTTAACCAAGAAGTCACTGCTGTCCCCAGCCCAGACGTACACACCCTGACAACCATCCTCCTCTTCAGCCACAGGCTCCCTGACAGCTTGGCAGAGGGCAACAGAGGCAGAAAGTCATTTAAAAAACCCACACGCTTTAGGAGATTTATTATTAGAAAGCCTATGGCTCAGGTTAAGTAAAAACAGGTGTATAAAAGGGGGTCCTGGAGGCCAGGAAGGGAATGGCCACTATCTGGTGGCCGAGGGGCAAACATGGGCCAGGCCATGGCCTTCCTGCCGCTGGAGAGAAACTTATTCTGCTGTGAGTCCACAGTGCCAGAGCGGTGGCTGTATGAGACCAAATAACCCCAGGAGGACAAGCCTGGCTCTGGATCGTGTGACGGACCACACTGGCCCCACCATGACACGATTTCCACAGAAGAACTGCGGAAACCAGAGGGCTCTGTCAGGAGGAGTGGGAGACCATTGCAGGGCTGTGGGCTGGGCACGCAGCAGTGTGGGGGGCACCATCCCAGCACCACGGGCAGGACTCGCTGCAGTGCAGGTCTCCAGGTGGTCTCAGGTGTTCAAGGTGCCATCACGGGGAGGTGGGTGCCCGGAGGAAGGCACGGAGGGAGAGCTGCGTCCCAGGGCGGGTGGTGCTTGCTCCCTGCAGCTTTGTCCCCCTCTTCCGCTTGGAGCCCTGCGGGAGACATACACTGGGGTAAAGCCAAACCCCAAAGGCCACCACAGCCTCCAGGGATTGTTTTTGAGGCAAGATGGGGAGACACCCTGGGTTTGGGGCAAAGCCAGGCAGGCAAATCCCCCAGACACAGCCCTGCCCCAGGCTGGAGATGCTCCTTGGCCTGACCCCAAAGCCCAGGGTGGCTCCAGCACCGCACACGAGGGCCTGGCCTGCAGCAAGATGGAGCAGATCCCAAAGCCACACACCCTCCAGCAATGCTCACCTTGCCAGGCCCGATCTCCTCCCCATGCTGCTTCTCACGGGCTTTCAGCACCTGAAGGAAGCACAAGAGAGCCCAGAGCTGAACTCCAGCTGAGGCCCAGAGTCAGGGGATGCCCAGGACCTCAGGGAAAGGAAGGGAAGGGAGGAAAGGCCCAGGCCCCTCCCAGTACCTTCTTCATGGCCGTGGACACGGCTGAGGTGTGGAACTCATCCTCCGTCACCCAGCGGGACGGGGACAAGGCAGGGTCCAGAGTCACATCCCCATCCAGGTGCAGGGAATAGACCACGTATGTCTGGTGGATGTGAGAGAAGATGTGGACAACCTGGGAGGGGATGGGAAGACACAGAAATGGGCAGGCAGCAGGGGATGCCCTGCTTGCTCAGCTGTCTCACAAGTGCACTGAGTCTGTCAGAGCTTGGGAGGGGTGACAGCAAGGAAGAGGGACCTTCTTCCCTCCATGCTATGTCCCCCGCAGAGCACAGGGGGCTCACACCACATACCTCTGCTCCAACCTCACCTCTCCGATGAGCCGCAGGTCTCCTGCCACCACTGGCTGCCCCATCCAGGCCTGGAGATGATCTGCCAGCACCTCCTTCTGCTTCTCCTCCTGCAGACCCTGAGCCAGCGGGAGGCTGGGGAACTCCCAGAGCCCGGCCAGGAGACCTGGGGAGGGGGCACAACGGGCACATGAGCTGGCAAGAGGCACATCTGGAGACAGTCTCATCACATACCACCCTCAGGGTGCTCTGTCCCTCGTGTAGGTGGGAAGGGGCCATGCGGTGCCTTTGCCCCCCTCCCGCCCAGCCCCATTACCCGAGCTGGGTCTCTGCACAATGAGGTACTCCGGGGCCCCGTGGCAGCCCCTCCGCTCCAGCACACACGTGGCCGTTCGCTCCACCCGCGGCTGCTTCTTTGCTGCTTTCCGGGGGAAGTTGGTCACCCCCAGGCTGCTGTCCCACGGCTCCGTGGCTGGGGGGCACAGGGGACAGTCCCCAACACCTGCAAACACCGACGTAACAGTCGCCATGGGGCCCAGACCCAGAGGCACAACAGGGATGTCCCCAGGTGCTCACCACAGTCCTCAACATCAGGCACTGGGGTGGGTTTTCCGAACAGTTTCTGAGAGGCGAAGGCCAGCTCCTTCTCCACCTGCAAGGGAGGACAGGGCTCATTCCACCAGCCCACCTTGTCCCCATGCTTGGTGACCCCTCTGAACCAGCACCCAGTGAGGATGCAGGACATGATGCCCAGCCATGAACTGCTTGCACCACTGGTCCAGGACAGAGATGACTCATAAGAAGAGCTTCAAAAGGGACCTGGGGCGAGCCTCTGCCACCGCACTAGGACAGCTGGCAGGCCCTGGCCACCCGCAAGCAGGGTGGAGACAGATTTTGGGGCTGCACTTACCCTGTGCCGTGCTCGGCAGTGCTGCTTCACGGGGCACTCCCCACACAGCGGGGCCTTGGGCACACACACAGTTGCTCCCAGTTCCATCAGGGCTTGGTTAAAATCCCCCGGGCGGCTCCTGTCTACCAGGGCATTGGCCATGTCCCTGGGAGAAACAGCAGTGAGTGGCAGGGGGCTCTGCAGGGACCTTTGCCCACCTCCTGCCTGCGAGGGGGAATGCTCCCAGGTAGGCAGAGACAACACGGCTCTTTTCTCCACCACTGCCAGCAGCACCAGCTTCCCAAGAGCTCCCCGTGCCCCACACCTCTCTCCTTTCACAGGCTCTGCTCCCCATGGCTCCTCAGTGACCCTGCCCTTGGCCACCAAGGAGCACAGACAGGACCCCTGCAGCTCAGAGCAGGGACGGAGCATTCCCCTTACCAGAGCCGGTCGATGACAGCTGGGCTGCTAGAGTCGGCGCCAATGCACCGCAGGCGGCACAGGACCCGGATCACATTCCCATCCACGACACCGGTAGCCTGGGACCAAGAGCTGGGGTTACCAAGTTGAGGGGTCCCCATGATCCCAGCAAGGCAGGGAGCTGGGGTGCTCCCATGATGGAGGGGAGACACACACGAGGGCTGAGCCTCAGGACAAGCTGGGCAGTGGGTGACACGCACCACAAAGCAGGGGACAGCCAGAGCCAAGCACAGCCCCAGGGAGCCTCCGGCTTGTGACATCCACCAGCAGAACCCTGCCAGGAACAGGGCTGGGTGGCAGAGAAGGGGTCACTACCTGGGTGTCAGTATCTAACACCCAGCTCTCACCTGCCCATACGAGATGGATGCGATGGCTCCTGCCGTGTATCGTCCCACTCCCGGCAGCAGCTTCTGCAGGTCTTCAGCTGTCCTGGGCATCTGGCCAGCCAGCTCAGACACCACCTGGCACAGAGGGGACCAAGGTCAGGGGAGCATCCGAGGTGTGTGTGTGCGTGTGTGCACAACCCATATTACCCACAATAAGACAGGACCCCCGCCTCTGCAGCCTCGTGCCAGCAGCACACAGCCCCAGTGAGGCAGGTAAACGGGAACCAGCACTAGCCCATGGGCCACAGAGGGCTTCGGGACCACCCTCCACACCCCAACACCACGGCACCTTCTTTGCTGCCTCCTGCAGACGCTTCCCTCGGGAGTAGTAGCCAAGTCCTGCCCACAGCTCGTTCACCTCCTGCTCCAAGAGAGACAGCACCGTGTTAGATGGGACGTGGGAAGAGCCGTGAGGGCAAGGAGAGCACCCAGCCCCAGCAACGCTCACCTCCAGGGATGCCTGTGCCAGAGCCTGCAGCGTCGGCCACTTCTGCGGTCGAGAGGGAAGGGGACAAGTCAGGGAGACAAGCAGAGCCGTGCTCTGCAGCTGGGGATCTGCCAGAGGCAGTGGACAAGGTCTCTGAAAGGGGCAGCCTGTGGGCACTGAACCCCGTGAGGAGCAGTCACCTGCATCCAGCGGTTGTAGTAGTCAATCACGGTAGCCACCTGCGTCTGCTGGAGCATGATCTCAGACACCCACACTGCAGGGAACAGGGCAGGGATAAGAGCAGGGGCACCAATGCCACCCACCCTTCATGCTGTGGCCACATCAGTACTGGCTATACACATCACAGCAGCATCCAACACCCTGACCCCCTCCCACTCCCCTCCTTTCCCACATGCTGTCCCACAGGAGCTCCCTCAGGCCCAAAGTGGGGTCTCTGACCCCCCAGTGCCTTACAGGTGGGGTCAGTGGCTCTTGCAGCAGCCTTTGCAAGGATGGCAATTAAAGCCATGTTCCCTCACAAGGCCATTTATCAGGGGGTAACACGCAGTGGGGCATCCCCCACACATTGGGGTGCAGTCCCCACTCACCTGCGTACGCCCGTCTGTCGGCATCCAGCTCAGCTGCTGCCTGAGAGGGGAAGAAGATGGATTGAGGAAGAACTGGGTGCCACAGGACCCCACCACAGAGGGGACCTGCACAGAAAATAAAATTCCTTGTGGTGCGTTTTGAACACTCCATAGGAATCTGCACCAAAATAGTTCAAAAATCCCACCAGAGCCTGTCCCAGACTTGAGACTCTCTGCACAAGAGGAAATCGTGGGTAGACCTAAAATCCCAGAGGGACCATGCAGTTCCCAGCACCAGTCAGGCAGGTGTAAAGCTGATTCTCACCCCCCCCAGCACCCCAACCACCCTCTAACCATTTGTCCTCAAGCCCAGAGGGTAGAAGCTCTACTAAAAACGCTCAGCAGGTTTACAGCAAATACACAGAAAACCTTTTCCATGCAGCGCTCGCTGCTGTGGGTACCGCGGAGGCAGGAACAAAACAAATCGGAAAGGAACAGAAAAGAGCCCCAGGGGTTGGGGCTGCGTGGAAGAAGTGGGGCTTCACCCTGCGCCCCCTCCTACCTGGGGACAGGCCACCCACCATGGAACCGCGAGGACCAACAGGGTCAAGCTTTGTTGACCAACAGGGCAACAAAGATGATTAAGGGGTTGGAGCATCCTCTGCCTTATGAGGAAAGGCTGAGAGAGCTGGAACTCTTTAGCCTGGAGAAGAGAAAGCTGAGGGAAGACCTATTCAATGCTTGTAAGTATCTAAAGGGTGGTTTGAGGGAGGATGGAGCTGGACTCATTTCAGTGGTTCCCAGTGACAGGACAAGGGGTAACGGGCACAAGCTGGAACATGGGAAGTTCCACTCAAATATGAGGAAGAACTTTATGGTGAGGGTGACAGAGCCCTGAACAGGCTGCCCAGGGAAATTGTGGATTCCCCTTCTCTGGAGATCTTCAAGCCCCACCTGGATGCAGCCCTGAGTGATGTGCTCTGGGCAGCCCTGCTTTCGCAGGGGAGTGGGACTGGATGATCTCTAGAGGTCCCTTCCAGCTCTGACAATCCCGTGACCAGCCGGGAGCACGCTCCCGTTCCCAGCGCCCTCCTCCCCTTCCGTGCGGCCAGGGACGCAGCGCACCAGGAAAGACACCGTGACCGCTCCCCCACCGGCTCCCCGCTGCGGCGGCACGGCCTCCCCCCTTACCAGCCTCCTCCAGGGGAGGTCCCGCTTGCATCTGTCGTACCAAGCGAGCAGGTTCCCGCGCAAGGCCCCCACCTCAGCCGGGTCGCTGAAGAGGTGCGGGGCGGGCGGCGGAGCCGGGGTCCCTGCCGGGAGAGCGGCGTAGGGTCAGGGCGGGGAGGGGACGGCGGGGAGGGG